TCACCATAGATCTCTAATCATACTCCAAAATTGTTTTCTTCATCTTATGACTCTCAGAGATTCAAATTTGTTGTGCATCCTGAACAGTTTAGGATCCTTTCAGAACGTAAAATAATTGAGGAAAGGGCATGAAATCTACAACCAAACCAATTGCCCGAGGTTCATGAGGTTATCAAAAAGCACAAGCTTACATACTTGAATCAACAGATCTAACCTGTAGCTCGCGACCTTGTTCTTGAGTTTTATGCTAACGCCCACAGAGCTCCCAATGACGATTCTACTTCAGTTACTAATTTGGAGTTATGGGTTTGAGGAAAAAAGATTGAGTACAATTGGAAAAAAATTAACAGGGTGCTGAAGTGTAAGTTTCTTGAGCCCAACTGCAAATTTCATACGAGGAAGTCATCTTCTAGAGTAGGTTGGTCGTATAATGACATGCATGACTTGTTAGCTCAGCCAGTTAAAGACTGGTAACCCACTATTAAACAAAGTCCTTCCGAGATGTTGGTTATGGATATGGACGTCATCCTGAAAGCATGAACATACTTCATGCGCCACATTTTAGATATGAACTGGAGTGGTTATGATCTGATTGTGGAGAGAGCTTTATAGTTGTACCTGATCCTCACTCTTCAGCCTGTTAACATAGGAAGGATTATTTTTGGCTTTATCCCTGTTCTCTTTGTTTTCGTCTGCATTTTGCATTTATCATTCCATCATTTTCATCATATTAGAATTCATTGCATGTCAGCACTTTTAGTTTAGTTTCATTTGTCCATAGCATCGCATATTAGTGCATCTAAGGGAAAAAAATTTGGTTATCTATATTTAAATACCTTTCACCATGATTTCATGAAGATTTTCATCGCTCACGTCATCTGGTGAAGATATTTTAATAGGGGCAACTGTTATACCCCAAATTTTATCCTTAGATTCCTTGATCTCTTCACCTATCATCTTAGGACAATCATCCATGCATGGCAAACCATTTTGTTTGTAGTTTTATTTGTTTGAAGATGGGTCATAGCAAGATATTCAGGGGTCATAAAGACTTTATGTAAGCTCACAGTCTCACCGAATCGGGGACATGAAAGAAGGATATACCATCATTTTGTGGTCCCTGAGTTAATATAAGGCGCATTAATTTTAAGAAAAGAGGGATAAAGAGAACATGCAACAACAACACCATGTGCAATGACCTTCACCTTAATCAATGTACTACGTCAATGCTGGCCGCCATGCACCATACATATGTTATAAACGTTCAACAACAACAATATAATATTATAACAAGCAACACATCATATTCATGCATGTTTCACACTACAACACACAACCACACATCATCCAACACCATCACATAACATTTAAATCAGTTCCAGGTATTGGAATTATTTTTAAAAGAAAGTTCATTGTGTTAGGCTCCTAACGCTTCAAACGAAACCTCAATCGAACACCCGAAACTCAAGTTATAAATTTACAAAATTTTCTGATTTTTCCTTCCTGTGTAACTAATTACACCAAAACCGGTAACCGGTTACACCCCCCCCCCCCCCCCCCCACACACACACACACACCCAAATCCATTTCTCACGTTTGTAAGTTGTCTCAGGTGTAATCGGTTACACCAAAAGTGTTAACCGGTTACCACTATGACAAAAGCAGTTTTCTGCTGTATTTTTACACGAAAAATAAGTTTTCAAAGCATCTCAAAACCCCAAAATTGTCATACCAATTCATAACTCGTGTTCCGACTCTAATTTCAAACATCACACAACAATACAAATAATCATCATCACAACATTCAACCAACACACAATCCAAACAACACCAACACATGATTTCAATAGCATTAACACACAATCACATCATTATACATCAAATTTCTCACAACATAGAGAAGAGAATAACAATCCTAGAGAGATTAGGACACCCATCCACATGTTATCATGTGAAACCCTATACGAAAGGAAATCCCACCCTTACCTTAGATTGATGGTTCGAAGCTTCTCTAATGGATTCCTCTTCTTCTTCCTCAATGCCCTAGCTCTTCTCTCTTTTCTCTTTCTCTTCTCAATTCACGTATTTGATAGTTCTCCATATTTCCCTTCTTTTCCTTTTTTTCTTCTTCTTATTTTAATATTATATTATAACTCCTGATTACTATTTTATTCCAACTAAATAAAATAATAACAATAATTTCACTAATATTTATTTTAAATAATATCCACCTAATATTATTTAATCAAATAAATATTAAATAATATTAATTAATTAGTTTTACTCTTACCGTCCCCAAATCTCTACAATTTTACTCAAACACATCAAATACCTTAAATCTAACATTTCTAAGGTCACTACCATCACCCAAGGTTCCCTTTAACGTCACAAATCATAAACAAACACACACACACACACAATCATACAATTATTTATGAAAATTAATTAAATAAATCAGAGTGTTACAAAAGTCAGATGCAAAAATGTCGAAAAATAAAATTGAATGCACCAAAATGATCAGTACGAAATAAACCTCTAAGAAATATACAACATTTGATCTAATTTTAAAATCAAATTTGATCAGTTAAAAGGTTCAGACAGATCAAAATGCAACCGAAACAATAGTCGAAAAATTAAAACATACTCGTCAAGTTAAACTAGGCGAAACAGGATTAGTATAATTGACATTTGCAAGCTCAGTGTTGAAATTTTTCGGCCGTTGATTTTAAGCACATTTGAGAATCAGTTTGTTCGGTCTGTCTGTAGATTTGAAAAATTATTTCGATTAATATTGAGCACTATGCGAGATGAAATGCATGTTATGCTATGCTATGTAAATGATGTAAATGCTATGATAAGTGCATTGATTTGACGATTCATGGTCAAAATTGGGGTATAACGCATAATTATCTCAAGGGTCTTTCTAACGAATGCTCTAGAAGCGTTCTTTAAGGATTTCAAACAAAAAAAATATTCTATAAAAAAATTAACCATTTCAATTTTCAATATATTAAGTATGCGGTTTTAAAGAGTATCTTGAGACACTTGTTAGCATTTCTCTTATCTTAATAATGAGTTATACTCAATAATTTATAGGTATCTCAACAACTCATAATCATCTTAACAATGAATTGTACTCTAGATCAGGGGTAGATCTATGTTGGGATGGTTGGAGGCTCTTGCCCCCACAAAAATAATAATCATGAATACTTTATTACATACTATATTATGTATATTAATTTAATGTATAACTATTTTTTTTTTGTCTATTTCAAAATAAAAAGTTACTCTAATTAGTTACTGATTTGAAGGGAATCAATGGACCGTCACGCGTCTTTGATCTGCTGTCTGTTCACCGGTGGTAAGAAGGAGGAGGGGGTGTACCTGCAAGACACTCCGATGCCAAAGTAAGGAATTAGACAGAGTGAGAGGAAATACAGAAAGTAGGTTGAGAATTGAATACCTGACCCTCTTGTGGAAGAGGGTATTTATAGAGAGACTTCAGCGCAGGGCCAACGGTCATTTGAGTTGGGCTGGATGGCCAGGCCCAACCCAAGTGACTACTAGGGCTTACGTGGCATAATGAAGACTAGAACGTGGTATTCGCCCTAGTTCAACTGCTCTGTGAACTCCGGAGAGTGGGTTGACCTGCTCTTTCGGAGGTGGGCAGTTGGTTGATGACGTGTACCCGCGGAGGAGAGCACGTGGAGAACGTGCGCGGGGGCACGCCTTCCTGCTCGGCGGGGAGAGGTTCTGTTCGACAGGGCAGCGCCTGGCCAACGGGAGCTTCGTGCCCGATATCGATGAGGAAGACTCATTTGAGTCCTTCACTAAATATAAGTGGGTTGGGTCTTCCCAGTCAAGCGGGGCCCAAGCCGGAACAGTTACAGAAACAAATTTACTAGTGTATATTTGTATTTTATTATACTTTACCACATTCTTCTATATTATTATAGTCATTTGCAGAAAAAAAAAAGTCTTTTTAATATGAATTTTTTTTATATCAATTGTAATGCATTAGATCATTTATTCCATATTTTCTTTATAAATATAGTTAAATAATTTCAGTTAGGTTGTTAAATATTTTATTAATTTATATCTTTTCAATATGTTATAAATTTAAAAAATATTTTGTTATGAACTTGTAGTAAATGGAAAATTGATTACATGTAAAACAACATATTTTATTTATATACAAAAGTTTGAAAATAATTGAATTACATGTAAAACAACATATTTTATTTATATACAAAACAAAATATTATGGTTACTTTGTTTAGCATTAATAATATAAAACAATTCATTCACAAAATAAAAAAGTACATAAAAAACAATTTAAATTGGTAGAAGTTTTAATTTTTGCTAATAACAAATTTTTTTTCCCGACTATAAAATATTTTGGATCCGCCACTGTTCTTATTTTAATAATTTACAATTATCTCACTAATATGAGTCATATTCTGGAAGACCAAGAGAATATTCATATTTTTCAAATTAATGTATAACCAAGTTCAAGGAAATAGTTCCAAGACTTTGAAATGTCCATCCCCATTTCAAATTAATGTATAACCAAGTTGAAGGAAATAGTTCCAAGACTTTGAAATGTCCATCCCCATTTTCAATGCATTGGAACTATTGTGATGGTTTTAACTATAGTGCACCATCATTTAAGGAAGGAACACCAACACTCTCAATTATTCAATTTTCTAATGTTGATGAAAAGAATATTTATTTTTCAATTATTTCTCTTGGTCTATGCAGAGAACATCAAGTATATATCTTCTAGCTACTACTTGTTATCTATGTCTCACACTCTCTTGGCCGGCCACAAAAAACTAAGGACAAAAATATACTGTCTTAATAACCTTAAACTTCGATATAATTGTTGTCATAGTAGTTAACAACGTTAGTCCTAGTACTTTCCGAAAAAATGCATTCTATATATATTGTTGTGTATGGTTAACTCTCATTTCACCTCAACAACAGTTTTGCAGGAAAAGATGTCAGGAGAGGAAATTTGGCCATCAGTTGAAAAAGAATCTAGAAAATCTCTGCCTCCATTTGATAACAGCAGTGGCTACAATTCAAAAACAGGAATATATCACTCTCTTGAAAAGCTTGGCACCAAGCATGAAATCCCAACAGAGCAAAACCTTAACATTGCAAGTCTTGTGCTATCACAGTTTCCACGAGCAGAACTTGCTGACGCGAAGATTGCGTTTATTGATTTAAATACTAGTCATAGTATAACCTACGGCGAGCTTCGCCGATCGGTTTACTCGCTTGCAACAGCTTTGTTTCATGGACTTGAGGTTAGAAAAGGCGACGTCGTGTTTTTATTGTCTCCGAACTCGGTTTTGTACTCGACCATATGCTTAGCTGTGTTATCAATTGGTGCAATTCTTACCACTGCGAACCCTCTCAATACAAAGTCGGAAATCGCGAAACAAGTACATGATTCTGGTGCTAAACTAGCCATCTCAATACCAGAAGAGTTACACAAACTGGTTCCAACAGGTGTTCCTACACTTCTCACCTCTAGTTCATCTGATGAAAAGTTTTTATCAGTTGAAGAGTTAATAGAAGGCTGCTATGATTCACAAGAGTTGCCGCATGTTCGTGTGGAACAATCGGATACTGCTGCTATACTTTACTCTTCAGGGACCACAGGAGTAAGCAAAGGTGTTGTTTTGACACATTCAAATCTCATAACCATAACAAAACTATTCTGCTGGTCTGCGGATGTATCAGCATCTCAAGACGATGTTTTCCTCGCCTTCATTCCAATGTTCCATATCTACGGACTCATGTTCTTTGGATTCGGGTTGTTGTGTGTTGGTGTTACAACAGTTTTGATGCAGAAATACAATTTCCAAGCTATGCTTATCGCTATTGAGAAGTACAAAGTTAATAACATACCAGCAGTGCCGCCGGTGATCCACGCGTTGGTGAAACATGCAAGTAAAGATGGATGTGACTTGTCTAGCTTAAGAAGGGCTGGTTCAGGTGCAGCACCTTTGAGTAAGGAAATGTCACAGGAGTTCAGAAAGATGTTTCCTTGGGTTGAACTAAGGACGGGTTATGGACTGACAGAAAGTTGTGGGGGAGCAACCTTTTTTGCGTCGGATAAAGACGCTAAAGCTCATCCAGAAGCATGTGGAAAGTTGATTCCAACTTTTTGTGCAAAAGTGATGGACACTGAAACCGGGAAGCCTTTGCCTCCTAACAAGGAAGGAGAGTTATGGCTGAAAAGTGGCACTATTATGAAAGAATATCTAGGAAATGTGGAGGCAACAGCTGCAACAGTTGATTCAGAAGGTTGGTTGAGAACAGGTGATCTTGGTTATATTGATCAGAATGGAGTTGTCTGCATAGTTGAACGAATAAAGGAGCTAATCAAGCACAACGGGTATCAGGTACTCATAAATAGTTTCAGTTTTCAATGGTGACAATTTTCGATTTTTTCAGTAAATCACTTCAGTTCTAAAGTTGAAGTTGAGTTTGGTAATTGTTCAAACGGTTTCGCTTTTTATAAATACATACGTGGATTGCTTGTATCAGGTAGCTCCTGCGGAACTGGAATCTGTGCTAGTAAGCCATCCCCTTATTGTTGATGCAGCAGTTATACCGTATGTTAGCCTCGGACTATTTTCACTCTTATTTTCATTCTCTCTATGACTTTTTTTAAGCGAAAAAAAAATGATGCAGTGTTGAAGATGAAGAAACTGGACAGATACCAATGGCATATGTTGTGAGAAGAGCTAGTTCTCAACTCTCAGAAGACCAAGTCATTCAATTTGTTGCAGGCCAGGTATGCTGCCCCCGGATTCTGATTTTATGCAGAAAAAAATGCTGCAGTAGTTGTAACCATTGTTGTTTAGTAGTTGGATGAAGATCAAACAATTCATATTCTAAGTTTGTATTTTACACCTGATTTATTTAAGTTAAACTTAACTTAATAGTGACTTCACCTAACTAGATACAGTGACTGCAGGGAATTTTGATTTCATCAAGCCCATTTCTACCAACGACTCTTAGAAACAGTTGTTTTAAGGAAAAATACTTTTTTTTCCCTTATCTATACTCTAACTAAATCTGTCATTTGATTTTTTTTAGTGTCAAATTGGTTCCTTAAGTCTTAAAATTAAGTCTTAAAATAATGTGTCATGTTAATCCTTTTTATTTAATTAACGACAAATTTAGTAGTTGATTTTTAAATTTTTCATCAATAGTTAGACAAAAAAACTAATATAACACTTTTTAAAAGTTAAGGGATCAATTTGATACGAAAAAAAAATTAAAGTAGACAATTTGAACCCAAGAATATAGTTTAGGGATAAAAAGAATATTTTACCTTAGTTTTAATTTGTTTCTCTTTTTTTTTTTAGTTAAACTAATTTTGAGAATTTTCAGGTGGCTCCCTATAAGAAAGTGAGAAGGGTGAGCTTTATTGATAATATTCCAAGGTCAGCTGCTGGCAAGATATTGCGCAAGGATCTTGTTTCCCAAAGCAAATGTCAACTTGTCTCTAAGTTATGAGTAACTTGAGTGAATAAGTGATGGTGCTACGGAATGATTAGCTTTGTGTTCAGTGTTCAAAACTGAAGAGAAACCACCTCAATCCCTTCAATGCATCTAAAATAAACATTTAGTAAATGATATTGATGCTTGTACTTAGATATTGTACATTTGTGAATTCTTTTTTTTTTTTTTTGTGATTCTGTTTTAGGCTTTTAATTATACAAAGACCTGCTATAATATGAAAATTTTCAAAGCTTTGCTCGTGAAACAAATACGATTTGTGGTGGTGGATTGATTTCCTGTGGCAGAAGAATGATGCCCGTTTTCATATTTGTGTATTGAAATATTTCTCAAGAAACGAACAATGCCTTGCAAGAAAGGACCATAAGCCAGGGGAACTATGTCATGACCATATTTTCCTTGGCCGTATTAATCCCACTCGCCCTGTAATTATTCTTTAAGTCGAACTAAAAACCATGTCGTGACCGTCCAATGAATGAAGAGTGAAAAAGGGTGACGGGAGTTCCAAAGGGCACCAAATCAAATCATTATATTCTACAAAATGAAAATATAAGTGTGGCCGAAGAAGTCATCATGCTTGAAAGTTGAAATAAAATAAATTGAAAATTGTATTCATCTAGCAATTGAAAGTGAAGTACGGATAAGTTAAATGAAATAGAATAATATGAAATGAGCCCGACAAAGTGAACCTATTAAAAGTGTGATTCAAAAATCTTGTATGCCCATCTTTTGAAAGTTGCAGTCCATCAAAATTGGAGCTCAATATCTTATCCATCATGCATTGCAACACAAGATGGGGGCCCAAAAGCTCTGTAGCAAGGAAATGCCATTTGCTGCATGAACTTAAATAACAAAATCAGCTACTTGAAAAATCACTTTAAGATGCATTGCCCTCCGTCTTTATTTTTCACTCCCACCAAACAATCGCCAAACTCCACCAGAACTCTGCCTCTGAGCAGTTGCAGCATGCTCCATCTCCTGGTCAAAAGCAGACTTCTTTTGCCGAAGAGCCTGTACCTGATCTTCCACAGACTGCATCGATTCAAGCAGCTTTTGGAGTTCTGTAATTTTGGCCTGGAAACAAACATTACCTATATACTCAAATTCTACACACATAAATCAAGTGTTAACTTCAAAGATGGGAAAGTGATTTTAACCTCCAGGTTAAAGCATCTCGATCTCTCAGCCACAAGTTGTGCCTGAACTGATTGGAGTTCCTGAAAATACATATTTATTATGAAAACCACGATTATCAATTAAGTTGTAGTGTACCTTCACAGAGAAATTGTAATACATACCTTGGTCAATTCAGCATGAGTACTATTTACTTCATGTATCTCACTTCCAAGCTTAGAATTTCCGGCCCTGACTTCTGCAACTGACAGTTCCAATAAGCGCTTTTCTTCTTTAGTGGCTTCAATTTTAACTGTGACATCATCTTGATGATGACCATTTGCAGATGACTTGGGATTTGTAACATCTAGTTGCGTGAAATCCAACTTCTCAGACTTAGACAATGCATAAGCAGAAGTAACAGAAGCTGCTGCAGCTGCGGCAGCCGGTGACTGGAAAATCTTGGGACGCAAAGTGTTCTTTGCCTTGGGTCTCATAACAAAAACCTAAATTTGTACAGTCCCTAGCAATCAGTCACAGAAACCACTACAGAATACACCAAAATTTGATTAAAAAATAAAAGTGCACTTAAAAATATGTAAAGCTAGCAAGTTTAGAATTTTTAGAGCATAGCATGCCATTTGCAATACATGGTGTCAGAATTGGAAGATGTGATTGAGCTAAGATACAACAACCAGGGAGCAGCATAAGTGTTGGCAAAATGGAAACATTTGCTAAAAGGAGAAAGCATGGATAGCTTACAAGCGAGTAGATGTAACAGATGAATAACTAATTCTGTTAGTAAAACAGTATTTTAAATTTTAATTGGAGGGAAGGGAGAATTGGTTTTTGAACTCAATTGTAATTGGAGAGTGGCTTTCTCGAATCGGCCAATTTATTGCATACTCTGAATTCCTTGAGAATTCTTATCTTCTTCCCTTGTACAAGTTGGACCTTCGATGCTTAGAAACACATAAAGCTAATTCCGAGAAACCAATTCTAAAAACCCGAACCAATGTTTTTCTTAGCAAACTAATTTGGACTCAAGTTATAGGAGAGCCTAATTTACTTGAATTCAACAAAATCAATTAACTAAGTATATCATCCATCTATTATAAGAAAAATAATCTTTGCTAAGATGTTGACAACACAAAAGGTATTTAATAATTAAATTCTCAATGCTAAAATAAATAATCTTACATACCTCATTGCTATACTTCCCATTGTAACCACCAAAAGAAAACAAATATGTTTCACCATCAATCAATCCTGAGCAGACACTAAGACCCTGATACGCAATGAAGACTTCTGTCACATATAAATCAATATGCAAAGGGTGTGAATCATTATGACACTCTTTTTTATACAACTTTGGCAATCAGAATGGAAAACAGAGTTAATCAGAAGGTCTCAAATGTGGGTCAAAAAAGAAAGTGGTTCCCCATCTCGGAATTGAAATATGGATGAGAAAATACAATATGAATTTTTTTATACAAAACCAGTCTTGGAAAAGTGAGAATTACTATCCTCCATACAACATTCCTGGAAACGTAGAAAAATATTAAATAAATAGATTGCATAAAGTAACTACCTCACTAGAAAGTGGATCTTTTTGCTTCACAACATCCAATACTGACCAAACAAGATTAGACATGTTTAAGACCAGGGTTTCGGGGCAACCTGTTTCGAAAATCAGATAATCATACATCCATAAAGAACAGAATGTCATTAATGCAGAGAGCATAATTATGCATAGTTGACGTCAATAATTAATTTAACTACCCCATGCTTTTAAGCAGCTTATTTTGGTTCATTTAGAAATAAGGAAGCAACTTTTATTTTGGAGTTTGGGGTTTATGCAGTCCGCTGATATATTTGGTTTGAGCAGAATGCCCACACATCGTTAGAGGGAGTCATTTTTCCCTTAGAATGTGCTTCAAGATAGGATTGTATTTAATGTTTCACACCAGTGCTAAGGTCAATGCATTTTCTAGTTAGTTATTATCATTTTTTTAACAAAAGTTAGTTATTATCATTTTTTTAACAAAAGTTAGTTATTATTCTAAAAAACACATGAAGTGGACTTCCACGCAGCGTTGTTGATTCTCTCTATGTCACTGTTTTTTTTATTTCTCTTGATTTAGTACATACCATTTTTGTTATCGCCACCACCAACTATGAACCAGCTTTCATCAATAGTTATACCAGCATGTCCAGCCCTGGGAGATACTAAATCACCTTGAGATTGTGGTTGAGACCATTCCATCTAAACCAAATGAGATTGTTAGATCATCAGATTATTGGTGCTAAACTTGTAATGATGAAAAAAAAAACAGCTTTGAAGATCAAAGGCCAAAACTAAAGCATTTTTCAGAATAAAGAAATGCAAGTATAAAACTAATTTGAATTTTGAACTTTGAACTTTAAAAAGGAATATCAAAGTTGTTCTTTACTGTCATTTCATGGATTAGTGTCTGGGTAAACGAAGTAAGACCATAACCATTATGTTTCCAGTAAAAAATATTCTACTTCAAAAACCAGCATATGAAAGGAAATCTCTAAAAATAATAGGTGTTGTCAAGCACCAGATGCAGAAGAGTGTAGTAGGAGTTGTATATTATGAACGGTATTTATATATTTATCATCAATACCGAACTGCCCAAATGATGACGAAATGATATAAATTTGCACATTAGAACAGAAGGTCCTCTCTAATTCAGTAACTAGCATCCAGACTAAATGACAAAACTGAGGGGGGAGGGGGGGAATTATTTCCACCAACTCAGGTTTCCTCTGATTATGCTATCACAGTACAGGAAATTGCATGCATGCCTTGACTCTCCACAGTCCTTTTTCTTCTGAGTGTATACTTGGGTAATGGGAGGTATAACTATAATGAGAAAGCACTTTTGTGAACGGGGGACAAACAGAAAAAACTGCTTTGGGTAGGGGTGACCTACGGAAAAAAACTGCTTTGTGTATGGGGGACAGACAGAAATAACTGAATGCCCCAGGTAGAGGAAACAACCTTATTAATACTTTAAGTTAATTAAGCATGTGAAAGAAGTTTGTAACTAACATCTACTCACAGTTTGCAGGTCTAATAAGTGAAGATCATTGAAGAAGACAGAATGAGAGCAACCACCAAAAATCATAAGGTATCGTTCACCATGCATAGCAGCTACATGATCATATCTAGGAGCTGGAGGTGTCTGCCTATCAAAATGTAAGAAAGTGGTATAATCGCACTGAATTTCTCTAAGGCATGAAAACACATTTTCTAGGAGTGAAAAACAGCTACTACTTACGAAGTCTTTAATATATCCCAAGTCATACTTTCAAGATCAAGAACATGGACATCGTTCAACAGCTTCCTGCTCCTATCTTCCCCACCAAACAATATCACTCTTGAACCAACCAGAGTTGCAGACTGTCCCACACGGGGTACCTAGAAAAATAGAAGAAAAAAAAATTCAATCGTCTATTTAACCACACTAAAAGTGACTCCCACATTTATTAATGGATACTAAGAAGAAATATTGCACAGATTGAATATCCTAAAATTATATAGATCAAAAAGAAAAAGAAGTAGGATAAAGGGATATAAACAGAAAAGCAACAACCAACCCTTACCCCACTACTAGGGTTGGCTACATGAATCAATCAACACCATTAGCCTCTCATAAACCAAATTTTCAGTGAAACCATTTAGTGTAGGAGATATCAAGCTTTAAAATTAACGGACACACTTACCGGAACACTTCCAGAAGTCTTAATAACTCCAAACTGGCATGTTCCAATGTCAATGTATAGAACTGCAAGAAATCCAACGAACATTTTAAGTTTTAAATGAGACATAACAGGCTATGACATACTATGCACATATAGGAAATAAATTAGGCCCTTATACATATTTCCTCTTCATGATAAAATTAATTTACAGATCGCAACCTGTTAATGTATCATAAGAACCCCTTGAATTGCCACCAAGAATAAGTAGTTTCTCCCCCCATCTAATCTGCAGAAATTTACAAATCTCTAATAAATCAAACACACAGTTGGTCACTAAAACTCGAGGTTCATCAATTGCCAGACCAAAAAAAGTAATATTTAATACTGAAATATGTATGCATGCAGAGAGATTATTTGTGCGCAGAAAGTTTTACCAAACTGTGACCAGATGTGGCTGGCAGATTTTCCTGTGAACTGTTGTCATTATCTTTTCCAGTATCAGCATTTAGCTTTAGAGAAGACCACGTCAAACTTCTCAAGTCAAAAACCTGCAAACAGCAAAATCATGTAACTCACCACAAAGAGACCAAGAATCTGAGCATCTGAGCATACCATATACCTGAACATCTGATAAATGCCGGCCATTACGACTTCCACCAACAATGTATAATTTTTCATCAACTACTGCTGCTGCATGCTACAGTGAAAGGACAAAAATTGGAATAAGAATTTGGGCCAAAGCTAAAGAAGTTATTCAGCTAAGAAGCCAAGAATGAGAAATTCATTTTTATCATTCAAAGCAAAATAGCTCATGACAAGACCCAATGAATCATGAATTACTTTTATGCTTTCATTTTAATTTTGTATTCTTTCATCCTTTATAAAAATGAGGAAAAGAGAAAGATGGAGAGAAAGAAACCTTGTAGCGAGCGGGAGGACGTGCACCAGATACAGTAATAGGTACCCAATTATCATATGTAAGATCGTTATGCCAATTGTTGACTTCCATTTCTCTCTGATTCTCCTTTAGTCCGGGAATAACTATTACAGAACACATTGATTGTCACTTTAGTTTATAAAATAACTGACAAACAGGCAGAGTATCTAAAAAAACAAATTCTATAAAGTGCACATGCAAAAAGATCCAAAGGAATAAACCTTAGAAAGCGCATATACAATCATGACCACAAGAATGTGATACACTTTCAACATCCCGAGAGAAAACACATCTATGATTCAACAAAATAAAATTAACACGAAAACACAGATCTTAAAAATTGAAAGAGAGAACAACACTTTCAAAGTCAGTATTAGTAATTAATAATTAGTAATAATATACATACTAAAATATTTTATTTATTTAATCATAATGTATTCCTGTTTGTATTAGTATTAGTGAATAATAATACAAATATCGTTCAAAGAAATATGACAAAAGCCAAATGCTGCTGCTAGAATACTCATTACACAAGTGGTAAAAGTTCAAGGCACTTGATATATTTTTAAGATTTTAGGCTATGTTTGAATATCATAAAATAAACGGAGTGGAATGAAATGGAGTGGAATGAAATGGAGTAGAATGGAATAGACCGAAGTGGAATGGAACGGAGCGGAATGAAGATTTCATTCCATCGTTTGAATATTTTAGGACGGAACAAGGTAAGTTTTTCATTCCCCCAAATCAGAAGGAAAGATATATGGTGGTAAGTGGTGGAATGGAATGGAACCCACACCACCATATTCCACTTCAATCCATCCAATTCCATCAATTCAAGCATTCCCTTAACAAAGCGGAATGGCATATAGGTCCCACTCCATTGTTTGATTATCTTATTAAAAATATCTCATTTCATCACATACACTCCAAATTAGGTGGAACAAAAAATGGGGATTTGGATGGAATGGATTCTATCATGTTCCATTCCATTCCATCCATTATTTACTAATCTAAACTATGAAATCACATTAGTTACCACTCCACTCCATTTCATTCCATCCCCTACCACCAATCCAAAATATGGTACATACCATATTTTGTAGCATTACAAATAAATTCACATAGTATACAAGATCCAAAAGTAAATTAACTACGCAACAAATAAATTCACATGGTATACGTAAGTTATATCATTACTCCACAATCCACACCAATAAGCTCCAACACCTAACATATATGGATAAGCTTATAAGAAATAAAATCAGAGACCTGAGAAGAGAGAAACCTTCGGTTAAAAAAATCTCTAGCACAATTCTCGGAGACACGTGATTTCGGCAATGCTTAGATAACAAGCTAATTGTACCTGAAATTGGAAATCTAGATCGAGTAAGCCGTATGAAATCAAGGCGAATTTCAAATCCTGAAGTTCATATTAGATTCAAAACGATGGGGAAATTCGAAATTGATAGACATAGAAATGCATCAATTGGGATTGAATGGGAGCAGAATGAAACCTGTTATCAGATAGAGGTTTCAGATCTGGAAACGGCGTCGTCTGAAGAAGAGGAGGAGGTTGGACGGTGGCAGATCGAGAGCCACCGTCGAGATCTCGGTTGAAACGCTGCCGTTGTCGTCGTCGTCGCGCGAGTGAGACTTGATTCAGACACACAACAGAACAAAAGTCGCGGCAATAACTTGGAAGCTCTAGGTAGTAAAATAATCCTATGAAAAAAAAATTTTCATAAGGTTTTTATTATTTATTTAAATAATTAACTTATTTAGAAATTGATATGAGTTTTAATTATGGTGAATCTTTGAACATGTTTTTTTTTATTGTTGAAATATCATCCACTTATAAAAAATAATAATAATAAATGATGTCTTCGATTATTGAACTTTATATCATTAATTTATAGCTATTTTATTTTATTAGCACATATCAATTCAATTTAAATTTTTTTAATAAATTTGACTTGATTTTAGCTTTTAAATCTTTGGTTAGATGATCATGTCTCACTTAACATTTAAATTTGTTAATTTTGTTTATTTATTAGAATAATTTTTAATTTAGAAAGAATTGGACGGTTTTCAATATTATTTCAGGTATAAGAAAGTTAATAAGTGCGTGAAAATCAATGTCAAATAGATAAATTGTACACTTATCAATTCTTCCATACTTAACATTTGTTTATCCATAAATAAAAGTAAGACAAACATTCAAACTTAGTTTCCTCCATATATGCATGCACAATTCAAAATTTTGATTAAATATGTTTTTTCAATAACTTGCATGACTTTATCGGCAGATAAATTCAAGACAATTACAATAGGATTTATAAATAAAGAACTTCTACGAATATGTGCTATAAAACAAAGGATAAAATCAAAGATTTTATTCTTTTGACAACCAATCATTCATTTATGCTTCGTATTCTTTCTTTCACAAAGGTGAATATTGTTGAAAAAGAATTACAAGTGTGAGTAGTGTGGGGAAGTCACACATAAGTTAGGAATGTGAAAAATTGAATATTTATAAGTGGGAGAACTCATACACATATCATCTTAAAGTTTTGGGTGAGTATGTGGTATGTGTCTCTCACAAAAGTGTGTTACTGTTAAAGAAAAACTCCATAGCAAAAAATGGTCCATCATGTTGAATTCCCCCCCCCCCCCCCCCCCCCCCCCCCTCCCCCCCTCGACCCTAACAAATATTTCTTTCTTACGATACACATGCATTCACTTCAATCAAATTGATTATCATCTATATTAATGCAAATAAATTATCAAATCATGAAATTAGGTCTTTCTTATGTTGCAATATAGTTAGCCTCATAATAAATCTTTGTTTTTCTTCGATTCAAAAAGCATTTAGGTTCAACAGAGCAATCATTTATCACTTTTTACACAATCTCTTTTCTTTTTCTTTTTATTTCATCTTTACCACATTCTATTTCTTTTTATCTTTATGATGTTTTTATATTATCTTGGAATGTTTTTTATTTTATTTTATTTTTACTTTGCTTTGCCAATTATACTATTTTTCATTCTCGTATATTTTTATTTTTCTACACTTTAACTGATTCAACATGTTTCTCCCTAACTTGTTTACAACCTCACCGTGTAATGATTGCTCTCATAATCCTAAATACAAGAGACATAACTTTTTATCTATTTAAGTTTAGGGTTGTAATTTTTCAAAAAGAAATAATTTTTAACATTCGCCTCAAAAGAGGGTACGAGAGATCACTCGCTCATGTTTTAGCTTTATAGGTCAAGTGACTTTCTCTCAAATTTGAAACAATACCTTATTCATTTTCATAGTTTTTCCACCAAGTCAAACAACTCAATAAAATTAATCAAAATAGAATTCAATCATACAATGATGGTTTCACACATTATAGTTAAACAATGGAAAGTTCACACAACCTCACCAATTTAGTTTTGCATATTAAAATGAATGATTAATCAATTTCATGGTTTCACTAAAAGTATACTTTGAAAAAACAACAAATTCATAGTTAGACTTGTATTCAATAATTAATCATTAAACTAGTCTTAGAATCCAACTTTTGAGAAAAAATATACTTCATGCAAGCTTGTTCAATCAAATGCCTAAAATATGCATCATGTTTCCAAGCGTTGATTATAAAACCATGTTAAACATCGCTGGTGGTAATTATATCAAATTTAACTAACCTTAATCATACTCTTAGAAATCATGTTTAAAACTAAACTAAGTATGGAATTTAAACTACGAAAAAATAGTAAATCAAAACAAATTAATGAAGGGAAATCATAACTAAAAACAACAAATAAATAATAGCAAACTGACAGACAACACACACATATTAATTCAAAAAGACTGAAAGATTAAATATAATTTATATTCTTTTTGCAATTTTCAACCTTCTTTCTCATTCTCAATCACCATCATTTTCCTATTTAGACTCAGTTATTTCTTCATACTTCCTTCCTTATCGTCATATTCTTCATGATCCCTTCCTCTTAGGTAAAAAAATTATGTCCTCGAGCCATGCACAAAGTGCATTAAAAGAAGTTGTGTCAGATACCCAATAAAAGTTGGTGGGTGATGTAATTATGGCCAATACAATGTCTTGTTAATAGAGATACTTATCTTATCTTGATCATTTAACTTTTCCTAAATATGGGTGAAACAATGTCAGTTGAAAAGGTTTGTTGATTTAAAGTTGTCTGACATAGTTCTATTATGAGGAGCCTTTTTGTTAATGGTTTCCTGACAATAGTGGTTGATGTAGGCATCATCGATGTTTGGATTTTTGGGACACATAGACGTTTCAGGAATTGACATTTGATATCTTTTAAACATGTGAGTGCAACTTTCTATTACATTATATGTATTTTGTATGATGTCAAAACTATGATACTTTAGCGTTAATGGATATTGGACGATATCCTCTGGTTCTCAATGTGCATCTTAGCATTAGGAAGCATAAAATATTTTGTAACCAAGCTGGAAAAGGTTTCATGCATAAAAAATAATTTTTGTGAAAAATAAACCTATGGGTCGACACATACAAGAAAAAAAATTTATGTGTCAACACATCCGCTTCATAGGTTAGCTCATTTACTGCATTATTAAAGCACGTAGGCTCTGTTAAATGTGTCGCCTCTACAGGTCGGTACATGACCTTTACATGTCGACGCATGACCTATACAGGTCGACACATAGCTTTCATAGATCGGCCCATACAACAAAGTTTTCCAAAAATTCACAATTTTTCAAACCTTTTGCATTCTTATTCCTTCTAAACATGCATGCATATAAATACTTCATACATGCATAATTTCTTTTTAATGATTTTAGTAAAATCATAAACAAAACTTGGAACATACTAAGAGTCTTTTTCATCTTTAACCTTGGTTTTATGCATACACACAAACAAAGTACACATAATCATTCATTATTTGAGTGTCATATAGAATCAAGTTGATAACACCCAATTTAGCTTGCGGTAATGTAAATTGGGTTGAGATCTTAGGGGGTTTTCAAATATGAAAACCAAGGTGGGGTTTTTCTTCAAGATCAAAGT